GCGTGCATTATCGTTCAATAGTTGCCGTCTTAATGCCGAGCAAGAGTGACTTGAACGATCCTGTCACTTGGCGGCGCTTCGTTTGCGCCGCGATAGGTGAGAAAATGAGCGTTCCTCGAGTTGTAGTTAGCGCACGGCGAGGCGCGAGAGACGTCGGCGCGTGAATTTATAGACTAACGGTATAACCGGGCGGCAATTTGCGATACTTGTAACATAAGACCGCAATTACCCGCGGTTCGAGAGAGGAGAGCCTCGAGAGTGAGCCGATCTCGTAAGATTGCCCAGTAAGATGGAAAGGGACCGAGAGAACTCGGTCGGCCCGCGAGAGCCCCGGCGCGGCGGTTCTTTTTCTAATGGATAATGAGTCACGCTAATCGGAAATAGGCCCGGCGAGAACGGTTCGATCGCCATTCTCACGGGGGAACGCGAGCCAGCGACGCGTGCAACTGCGCGAGACGGAATCATAGACTGCGCATTTTGGCTGCGGAAGTGTACAAACTTTAGAAAGAGACAACATACTTCGGACCTTATTCTCTCTCACAATCAGTCTATCAATGTCTGGAGCGAGGCAAAAATTCAATATGGCTACTGTGCACTGCAAAACGTGTCCACTCTAAATTCCGCGAAATTATAACGGAAAAAGTGACTTTTTTTCCACTTTAAGTAAACGTGAAATTAAAGCGGAATTGCGTATACAGGACATTGTCCTAATAATAATGTCCTGTATAAATAGAAGGGAAATTTGTAATTGTAAAGGCGAATGATGCCCGCAAAAGAAACACATGTATGTGTCATCCGCGGGAGGTAACTCGAATTCATCGCAGTCACATGCGGTACATTTACCGCGATAGTTACCGCGTCGATCCACTCCCATATTGCTCCGCAACAATTAGCGACAAAAATATTAAGCTTAATATTAAACTGTGTAATCGAGATGAAAACCGCCGAGTAACTTAAGCGACTGAGATACTCTAACAGATTGATTGACAAAATAAAATCAGTTGCTATGGTAACTCTTGTCCGCTTTAAATATACATTACTAAAAAAAAAAATAGGGAACACTTTTCATACCCTAAAAATTGGGCTATTTTCAAACCACTGAAACTTGGCGAAAAATGATCGTAGACACAAAATTAAAAAAGCATTTTAAAGCTTGAAGTTTCAACTTTAAAACTCTGTCAATGATATATTTCGATATATTCATCTTCCTCGTTCTGTGCTTTAAAAAAAGAATAT